CCGTCCACCTGGCTTCACTGGGACTTTCCCTCCTGGCACCCAGTGGAGCCTCCGACGGCCAGTCTACGGTCTCCGCCGGGCACCGCGTGAGTGGCACGACACACTGAGAACTACGCTTGCGGCTCTTGGGTTTGCTCCCTCTAATGCTGACCCGTCGTTGTTTCTGCGCACCAACACCTCTCTGCCGCCGTTCTACATCCTCGTCTACGTCGACAACTTGGTCTTTGCCACAGCTGACACTGTTGGACTCGCCTACGTGAAGTCCGAGCTGCAGAAGAGACACACGTGCACAAACCTGGGTGAAGTGCGCAGCTACCTTTGCTTGCAGATCACCCGGGACAGAGCACGGCGCACCATTACCTTGACTCAGTCACACATGGTGCAGCAAGTCCTTCAGCGCTTCGGCTTCACGTACTCCTCGCCTCAGGCCACTCCTCTGTCTACTCGCCACTCGCCCTCAGCTCTGCCTTCGGATGAGTCCGTAGAGTCGAGTGGCCCGTACCCAGAGCTTGTTGGTTGCCTCATGTACCTGATGACCTGCACACGACCTGACCTTGCATACCCTCTTAGCATTCTTGCACACTATGTTGCTCCTTGGAGACACCGACCAGAGCACATGGCTGCAGCGAAGAGGGTGTTGCGCTACTTGTGCAGTACGTCGGGCATGGGGCTTGTGCTTGGACGGCGGAGTCCAGTGGTCCTCACTGGGCACGCGGACGCTTCTTGGGCTGACGACCAGGCTACTCAGTGGTCGTCGCAAGGTTACACCTTCAGTCTTGGTTCCGGCTCTGTTTCGTGGCGGGCTACTCCCTCGTCTTCTGTTCTTGGCTCAAGTTGTGAGGCTGAGATCTACGCCGGGGCCATGGCTGCACAGGAGCTTCGCTGGCTCACCTACCTGCTGACCGACCTTGGAGAGCCGCCTCGTTCTCCTCCAGTGTTGTACGTAGACAAGAAGGCCATGCTGGCCTTGTGTCGAGAGCAGCGCCTGGAGCATAGAACAAAGCACATTGCTCTCCGTTAGTTTCTTGCTCGTGAGCTGCAGCAGCGTGGTCAGTTGCGACTTGCGTACGTGGACTCTGAGGCCAACACTGCTGATGTTTTCACCAAGGCACTTCCGCCTTGTGATCATCAGCGCTTCTGCACTCAGCTGGGACTTGTACCTGTCTTGCCTCACTTGCTCACCTCTTGACCTTGCTTGTACTCTTATATATGTATACCTGCTCTTGCTTGTTTAGCCTTATATATCTATGTGTACTCCTGCATGTGAACTGGCCTTCTAGCCTTGACCTTGTGCTCGGACTGTGTGGTGACGTTGTGTAGGCTATAGTGGGGTAGCCCATATGGGGTACACATTTCTAGGGTTGCATATTTGTATCACTTCCTTTCCTTAGTCAACCCCTTCTCGTTCTACTTTCCTCAGTATGGGGCCGTAGAAGGCGGCACGAGGGGCCGTAAGGGCGGCCAACGGGGGCCACCAAGGGCGGCCCGAGGCGCTACTCGGGTTAGGAGCGAAGCGCGCTCCGGGAAGGGAAGGAAAAAAAAGTTCTTGGTGGGCCCTAGGCAGTATTCCCACTCGGGAACGTGCTCGATACCATGACGAGAAGTGAGAATGGATGAATGAACTATGAAACAGTTGGGTACAAGTACTAACCCTAATTGGGTTGTACCCTTTATGGGCTACCCCACTACAGCCTACACAAATGTATAAGCTATAGTGTTCTGACATGTCCAGCTCACCTCCCAAATCTTGCTCATTTCTTCCTTCTAATGCGCAAGCGATTCTTCTACCTGCAAGAGTGGCGCTGTTGGTATAGCCACCTCATTTTTCTTTTCCTCCCTTCCAGCCCTCTCAGCTGCTAGCTCTTTCTTGAGTTCGCTTATGTTGTTGATGTTCTCCTCCCTCGATTATTTCAGAGCTTTCTCAAGGCTTTCTAATCTATTAGTCAGCATTGGGATCTCCATGAGTTCCAAAGAGTTTCTCTGTCGTTGTTCCGCCTCCAGCTCCCTCCTTGCATCCTCAAATCGAACGGCTATCTTTGTCCCTACACTCATAATTTCCTCTAGAAGCCTTGCTCTTGCCGTCGTCATTGTGAACTCGGCTCGCTTGTTGGCAAGAGGAAGAGCCGACGAGCTTGGTGAGGACAATGGTCAGCAAAATGGTAAAATTTCACGAGGAAATTAGGTTCTAACGCTATAAACGCTTTCTCGACGTCGGACGTCGGTGAAACTTTGGCCGAGAGACCCGACGAAGCTGCACCTAGTTCCGCGAGAGCAGCAATCACTCCAAATTCCCGCCGTGCAAACTTCACGACCAGCGCACATCCCATCTGAGGGAAAACATTTTTTCGCGCTGGGCGTACGACACGGCTCGCCAGATTCGTCATTTTTGCTTCTCCTTAGGGGGGAGCATGGCATAAACAAGGCGTAAATAAGGCATAAACAATGCGTAAATATGGCGTGAACAAGGCATGGACCATGCATGAACGTGGCAGCGTATTCCACGCTGCTCAAGTCAAGATGTGCGTGGAACAAACCTTCTTATAATTAGTGAATGGAATGCCATTATAGATTCCACTGTGAGAATGTAAATCTAGGTTTTGGTACAATGAATTCTAGGAAGTGAACATTCTAGGAATTTCATTAGCAATTGATACACCATAGAACAAGACATGCTGCATTTACCAGAGAGCACAAAAGAAAACAAGTACCGTAGCTGCTACCAACAGAATAGAAGTGACTACACAGTGGCTTGTGCAATTAGATGTTGCTTGCTTCACCACCACCCAAACCAGCACTCTTATTACGCACCATCAACTCCCCCATCCCTCTTAAGCAATCTCTTACAGACTGCTATCCAAAGGGCTGGCTGAAGGCTACATGATCTCAAACCTCCTCTTGCTCCACTATCATACCCCCCATCATCCCTCTACCACTCACTGCCCCAGCGCAACTATCCAGTTAGCCCCCAACACAAGGGACCGATTGAAACAGTGCTGGCATGTGACATCTTCTTCGAAATCACGTGTGAGCGCGTCCAACGGGTTGCTCACCGCTTGACTGTTGCCCACGCCTTCTTCATCGGGCGACTCCTGACGCGCTTCACCTTGCGTCTGGCGTAGCTTGGTGTTTTCCGCACGCAGCGTTGTCACTTCTGCCAATTGTGTCTGCACTGTTGTCTGTAGCTCTGCCATTTGCGCCAACATTTTGTTCAACGTCTCCTGGTCCATGCGTCGCATGCTTCGTCTGGTGGGCAGAGGTGTAACCGTGGTCTTCCGGTGAGTGAAAAACACGAACTATCGGAGTTGGGCAGGATCGAATTAACAAACCTTGCAGCGAACCGTCGTGTAGTCCAATATGCCGGCCACACCCATGCCACCAAACTTCCCTTGAAAAGGGGGGTGAACTAGGAAAGAAGCTCTGATACAAGGTGTTATGAATTGAAAAAGAGAGTGCGCGGAATAACGAATAACGAAGATGTGACTCAATGAATTGACAATACAATGAAGGCACGCGCTAATATAGTGGGTCATCCTAGCTAGGCGGGAACCTCGGGAACACGAGGTTGGGTGCAGGTTGGGCAAAGGAAAGCCGAATGCGACGCGAGGTTGTTTCGGTAGCAAGCAAAGTGGCCGAACGTGCACTTCCGAAAGTTGGGGTTGTACGCGGTTGAGTAAACCCCTGTAAGGAAAAGGGTTATTCCTTACACTGTAAGGAAAAGGGTTTTTTCTTACAGCTTGGGTTGCATTTCATTTGCTTCTCTTGGTTGGAAAGAACATAGGCAACCTTGATTCAAATCTAGCATCACTTTTCTGAACTATACGAAAACTCTACACCCCGTCAACGCTATAGCGACATACGGTTTGGCGATGCATTGACGAAACGCTTCCTCCTTAGTTACTCGCAGTCGCAACTTCGGTTTGCCTCACACAATCCCCCAACATTGCCGTCCATCACACCTGAGGCGAAAGTTCGCATCGACGAAAAAATCGCAGAGTCAACCCCACCGCCAGCCTTCCACCGAAAACTGTGGGTGGGACAGGCAAGCCCAAGGCGGGTCTTCCTGTTTCTCCACTCTGCCTCCCTCCGTGAACCACGCTCGAGGCGCGGCGCGTGCGAGTGACCAATCGAATTCACCAAGAGGCCACCTGCGCTCTAGGCTCCCTGAGCGATACTCGCCTGTCCCGCTAGTCCCTAGGTTCTATACCCCACAGGAAAACCATTTCTGGAGCCACGCGTCGCTTTCGTATAGTCGTCGATTTGATCTTCCGAGGGCCGTGAGCCTGAATTTCTGAGTGCGACGCGCAAAAGCCTGTTTATTTTGTTTACACAGTATGATCTATAAACCGAGGACCGAGGCCACGCATAGTCTGCATTCCAGTCGGCTGCAGCTGAGTTATCTCTCAGATTTCGACGACCACACCCCCAAAACTGCTCCACACTTCTCCCTTCGCTTGACAAAGGCGCCAGACGAACGCTAAGCATTTAAAGACGACCGCCTCCCGTATCGCTGGTTCCACAACTTTTTGGAACATCTCTTCGAAGCGCTTCACTATATCCTTTCAACTAACAGTTACGCTACACTAGCGGCAGCTGCAGACCCTACAGCATCTAGTTTTATCCGTTACTTGCAAGTAGCTAGACCCGAACAACTGCGTGAAAATTCCACAATGCGTCGAGATTTAGTGCTTCGCGTGATGCTTGGCGGCCTCTGTACAGTCACACTACCTACTAGCCACTCATCAGCGGAACACCCCAAGTACCATGCTCGCGGAACGAGGTGCCGAGCCTTCGGACAAGGTTCGGGCCGAACCTCGTCCTCGGCTCTGTTCACCCAGCTTCTCCTCTTTTCGCTCCTCTGTACAAATCTCCGAAGCTCGCTTGCATCTGCCACCGCCAGCCAAGCACACAATATCTCCCTGTCCGATCCCAGTTTTGTAGGCGGAAAACGCATAGGCGTCAATGGTATCAGTGCTTCAGAGACGGAAGATGATTCTGAGTGGATGGGGAAGAGGCGGTCACTGTTCCTCTGGCGGGCAGGCTCGAAGAAGCCAAAACAGGTGGGTAGCGGATGGGTGGGCTCGCAGTCCTGAGACTTGAAGGTGCCGGTGCCTCAGAGACGGGAGATGTTTCTGAGTGGGCTGGGAAGAGGCGATCACTCTTTCGCTGGTCAGGGTCGAAGAAGCCAAAACAGGTGGATGACAGACGGGAGAGCTTGCAGAGCTGCTACTAGATGGTTTATCCCAGTACCCTCTGTGTTTCATGGCTCCACGTGTGTGTTTGTGCCTCAGCACATTCCGAAACCGTCAATGAGCTTTGCGCGAGGGCATCAGAGTCATGTGGTCATCAGAGAGCATCAGAGTCATGTGGTCACTCCCTTTTCACAGACAGCACATCTTGCATTTCTGTCTCGTCCCTATGCCTGTACCCTTCGCGCCCACTCCCCAGGTGCATAGCACGAAGCCCTAGCCGGCCCCAACAGCATCAGAGTCATGCAGTCAATCAATCCCTAACCACATCCCTTCTCCCAAACTCGTTTCTGTCTTTTCCCTATGCCTCTCGTCTCTCGCCCATTCCCCAGGTACACTTAGCTCTTGCCGGCCCCAACAGCATCAGAGTCATGTGGTCTACGTCTCGCCGTGGTACGTCGTCATTGGTGGAGTTCGGGGTAACTTCTGGGCAATACACCAACAAGGCGAAGGGGAAGTCTTCCAGCTACACCTTCCTGACCTATTCGTGAGTACACTAGAAAAAAATATTTTTCCCTTTTCTTTTTCATTGCTTGCTTCTCTCATACACTTAACTTCTCTCTTTTTGTCCTCCAATCTGGCTCAACACTTTTCCTTCCCATGAATGCACTTCGTACCAGAGTCACCTTTTCTTGCTTCACGTTCCAACCCTCCACCTAGCCACCACCTATTATTGCTATCGGATTGCGGGGGGGACACCACTGACCGCAACGATCCCTTGTAATACCCTCCCTTGACTATTTCCCCTCTCCTCCCGTTGTGTGGTAATCCTCCCCAATCCACCACCTGTGCAGGTCGGACCAGCTGCACAGCGCTGTGCAATCAGACCTGCAACCCGAAACCACCTTCTGCTACTATTGCATTGCAGGGGAGGGGCCAGAACGCTCACTTGTACTCCCTTTCTCTTTCCACCCTCCACCTTTCCTCTCCCCATCCCATCACGTCACCTGTGCAGGTCGGACCAGCTGCACAGCGCAGTGCTCTCGAATCTGCAACCCAAAACCACCTACTACTATCGCATCGCAGGGAAGGGGCCAGAACGGTCCTTTGTAACTCCGCTCACCGATGCTGCTGCTGACGTCAGCATCGCTGTTGTTGGTGAGACAGTGGGTTTGGGAATCGGGAGTTGAGTCCAGGGTGGGTGGGAGTGGGTGGGAGCATGGTGAGAATTAGGAGGGGGTGGTTCTGATTCTGCTGCTGACGTCAGCATCGCTGTTGTTGGTGAGAGCTGGTGTGATGATTGGTGGAAGCGGATGGGAGTGGGCGGGAGCAGGTGGGAGAGGGAGGCGTCAACATGCGGATGGGGATAGGTTAAGGGATTGAGGCTGGGTGGGAGGGATACCTGTAGGTTGTTCCTATGCCACGAGATGTTTTAAACAGATCTTGTTGACGGATTCCTTGTTTGCCCTTAAAGGTTGATACAGGTCTCTCACCCTCCTTCCCATTCCTCTCCCTTGCATTGCTTGCTTCCCGTCCAGGTGAGATTGGTCTGTCCAAGGCAGCCCGCACAACCATCTCTCGTCCCTCTCAGCAGCCCCACTCGCTCACCCTCCTCTCCACTCCTCTCTCCCTCGTTCCCATTCCTCTCTCCCACCTTGCGTCCTTTCCAGGTGACATTGGTCTGTCCAAGGCAGCCCGCACCACCATCTCTCGTCTCGCCCAGCAACCCCACTCCCTCACCCTCGTCCCGGGAGATCTCTCCTACGCCAACGGTGTCCAATCCGTGTGGGACAGGTGGCAGTCTCTGATTGAACCAGACGCCAGCACACACCCTTGGATGGTCGTGCCGGGAAACCACGAAGCCGAGGCACTTAGCGCGATCAGCCCGAAGGACTTCGAGTGGCCTGCGTTTCTTAAGCGATCCGCTTTGCTAAACAGCGGTGCTTTTCTGGCATATAAGAAGCGGTGGGAGATGCCTTCTGCTGCCAGCGGGTCGCCTTCTAAGCTGTATAACTCGTTTGAGGTGGCAGGGGCGCATATCATCGTGCTCTCCTGCTACTCACCCTTCGGTCCTGACTCTGAACAGCGGAAGTGGCTGAAGGTGAGCCTTCAAGAAAGAATAACGCGAATGAGCCTTACAGGCGAAGGTTGTCATCGTGCTCGCCTCTCCTGCTATTCACCCTTCGGCCCCAACTCCAAGCAGCGCAAATGGCTAAAGGTGAGAAAGCCCTTCGTCAAGAGCACATCCCCTTTAGTCACATGTACCATTGCCTCCCCTAGTAAGTCGCCTTCTAAGCTGTTTTAATCGTTCGAGGTGGGACAGGCACATATCATCGTGCTCTCGTGCTACTCTACTCGCCATTCGGCCCCGACACTGACCAGCGCAAATGGCTGCATGTGAGCTTTCTTCAAGAACACATCCCGTTTAGTCACATCTAGCATTGCCTCCCTTAGCGCTCACCGCCCTGGACCCATCCATATCGCTTTGTACCTTCCCTTGCAGAGGGATCTGTCGTGTGTGGATCGGTCCAGAACACCCTGGCTGGTGGCATCCCTGCACGAGCCCGGGTACCATTCTAAAAGGGACCACCACATGCATACCCACTTTCACCGTTCTGCACCCATCTCTACCCCTCTGAACATCCCCTCATCCTCTTTTTTGCAGAGAGACCCATCAAGCACAGATTGGTCCAAAACCCCCGTGCTCTAAAATCCCTGCACGAACCCTGGTATCACTTCAACAGCGACCATCAGACGGACAGACCATGAGGAAGGGAGGCCCTGGAAGAGACGCTTACCGCTCTGCACCCATCCATATCTCTTCGTACCTTTCCTTGCAGAGGGATTTGTCAACCGTGGATCGCTCAAAAACCTCCTGGCTCATAGCATCCCTGCACGAACCCTGGAATCACTCCAACAGCGACCAAAAGACACCCACTCTCACCACGCTACACCCATCTCTGTCCCTCCGTCCCATCCCCTCATCCTTTCTCTTGCGGAGGGACTTATCAACCGTGGATCACTCAAAAACCCCCGGGCTCGTAGCATCCCTGCAAGAACCCTGGTATCACTTCAACAGCGACCATCAGACGGACACCCACTTCACCATTCTGCGCCCATCTGTACCTCTCTGAACGTCCATCCCCTCATCCTTACAGAGGGATCTATCAAGCGTGGATCGGACCAGACAGAACCCCCTGGCTGGTGGTGTCTCTACACGAGCCCTGCTATCACTCCAACAGCGACCACCACATCCCATTCTCACCATTCTGCACCGATCCGTGTCCCTCTGTACCCTCCATTTTCAGAAAAATCTATCCAGTGTGGATCGCTCAAGAACCCCTTGGCTCATAGCATCGCTGCACGAGCCATGGTACTACTCCAACAGCTACCACCAGACAGACTTTCAGGCCATGCGGAAGGCCCTGGAACAGACGCTCACCGCTCTGCACCCATCCATGCCTCTTTATACCTTCCCTTGCAGAGTGATTTGTCAGCCGTCGATCGCTCGAGAACCCCCTGGCTCATAGCATCGCTGCACGAGCCCTGGTATCACTCTAACAGTGACCACCAGACAGATGGGCAGGCCATGCGGAAGGCCCTGGAACAGACGCTGTACGCCGCCCGGGTTGATATGCTGATCACCGGCCACGTGCATGCGTACGAACGCACGGTAAGCTGTAACGACCATTGTAACGGCCGCTGTAACAAGCTTTGGGACGTATCAGCAAGCTCTCGCTGCCCGCGTTGACATGCTTATCACCGGCCACGTGCATGCGTACGAACGCACGGTGAGTTGTAACGACCAGGAGGACCCCTGTGGGATTATTCACGTCCTTTCGACCCCAGCTGAGCCTATTCCTTCGTGTCATTCACCTCCATTTTCATCCCTTTTCTCATCATTTCCATCCCATCAGACCCGCGGGTACAACGGCCAGGAGGACCCCTGTGGGATCATGCGCATCCCTTTGCCCCGGATTCAGCCCACCCTTTTCCTTGGTTCACCTCTTCATTCCTTCTTCTCTGTCACTTGCTTGTCTTGTCCTATCTCCACCCCATCAGACCCGCGTGTACAATGGCCAGGAGGACCCCTGTGGGATCATGCACATCACTGTTGGGAGCGGCGGGAAGGATCTATACCCTAGGTAGGTCAGCTGTGTACTGTGAGGCGTGCTAATACTGACTGTAGGAAAATCACCTGTACCCTGAGACGTCTTGTGTATACCCGCGTCCTATCCTGGGCACACCAGCTGTGCTGTGCTGTAAGACGTCCTAATACTCTGCCCTAGGAAATTCAGCTGTACACTGAGACGTCTTGTAACACCATGAACTTCCATTCTCTTACAAACATCCCATCCCCTCCCTCCCCCTCCCTCTCCCTCCCTCCACCCTCTTTCCCCTCTCAGCTTCGTCTCCCCCAAGCCGGCGTGGTCGGCCTTTCGTGAAGCTGCCTTCGGCTTTGCTCTCTTCAAGATCGATGGCAGTGCAGCAGGGGAGGCGGATTGGGAGTGGCACAATAACGACGATTCCCCCGCTGTTGCTGCCGACTCTGCACGCCTTGTCAGCCTTTCCAGTGCCTCTGCTCCTGCTGAGTGCCGGCCAGCATGAGTCTTTCATGGTTCTTAGCATCAGCATGGGTGGTGACAGTGATGGCAGCAGCCGGCACACGGCAGGGAGTGCAGTGGCGGTAGAACACCGTGACTTGGCACTGTAGCAGGTCCTGTAGCAAGTACTGCAATTCGCACCATGTCAGGGACTGTAGCAGGGAGTGTAGCAAGGAGTGTAGCAGGAGCAGGAGTGCCACTGGTGGCAGTCCTGGGAGGCCCGCCAATCCAGGTGTCATCCAGACGAACCCAGACCCCTGCTCTCACCCACACCCACGCTTGGGGTGGTGGTTTAACCGACAGCAGAAGGTACATGGGGTTGGAGAGACTGAGGGGAGGAGCAGTGGAAGAAAGAGGAGGGGCGCAGGGGTAGGCACGGGGGAGGAGCGGTAAGAGGGGAAGAGGAGAGGGAGTGGAAGGAGGAATAGTAGCTGGGAAGGATGTTGAGGGGAGTGGAGCAGAGGGGGGGAAGGGTGGGTGTGCCGTGTGTGCTTGGAGAGGCCGAGGAAGGCAGCGTTTGTGCCGTGTGGGCACATGCTGTGCCGTGCGGGCACATGCTGTGCCGTGCGGGCACATGCTGTACCGTGTGGGCACGTGCTGTGCTGCATTTGTGCTCAAGAGGTTGAGGACAGGTGTGGCAATGGCCCTTTGTGCAATATACATTCTACTTGGATGTTTTGCAGTGCTCTTGCTTGATGTGCAGCAACAGGCTCATCAAAGAGCTTAATGCCTTAATGGAATGCTACAAATCAAAAGCAGGAGTTAAGAATCCAAAAGGCAAGGCTATCTATAAAGTTACAGGATCAGCACTCAGATGCTCCAATCCAAAAGTTGGAAAACATTTATGTCTGGAAGAGCCCTCTTCACAATATTGACATCGTAGGTGTCGGATAGGCCAACCTTCTCAAGGCTAGGAATAGCCTTCAGATGCTCCACTCCATAACGGTCAAGGGAGGACCTGAACAGGATGGTCTTGAGGGACAGGCATTTCAAATGTTGCAATCCGCGAGCAGAAACCTTACTTGGGAGACTCAGCCATGTGAGCTTCTCCAAGGAACTCAGATGCCGTAGTCCATCTTCCCGTACCAGAGATGCGCTAATATCCAGTGATATGAGACGCTTCAACTTAGCCACATGCACCATACCTGCTGATGAGGGAATGCTGCTGGGATCAATGTATTGATTCTGGGTACGAGAAAGGACAAGGGTCTGCAGAGAACCCAGGCCTGTCAGTTGAGCAAGCCCAGCGTCTGAAATCTTGCAATCAATCAAATCAAGTCGAGTAAGCACCGTCCAATTCCCAACCCCTTGCGCCATTGTGCTGCTAAAAGTTCCAGTTCCTGTTCGCAGAGTAAGCTCCTCCAACCATGTCATGGTGTAGAGATGGGTGAAGGCGCTTTCATCCAAAATTCTGCAAATGTCAAGTTTCTTCAGGGATTTCATGCAGGAAAGGCGAAAAGTTCCAAAGCCCGTCAATGGCCCACCGTTGTTGCTCAGCTTGATTTCAGTGGCTTCAGCAGAAACACCAACAATCGCCCCATCTGCACCAGTTGTTGTAGAGCGACGTGAGGCTTCATATATAGCCTGAAAGAAAGAAAACGATGTACAGAGAATGAGCGGCCAGCATGACGGAGAAATGGGATAAGACAAGTCTACAAACTTATATGAAAGCTTTAGCTACTCCCCCAGTCAAACCATTCTCACCTGCCATAGCTTCTTCGCTTCATCCCGCTGTTGCACCAGCATTTTTTCTGCCTTGTCCAGTCTCGCAGCCATCTTCTTTTCCTTCTCCTCCCAAATGCTTCGTTCCCGAGCTAGTTCATCTTTAAGTTCACTTACGCTGACTTTATTCGCCTCCCTCAGCTCCTCCAAACCTTTTTCTAACCTTGCCACTTTTGTTGTCAGCAAACTCTTAATCTCCTCCAAGAGCTTGACGGTTGCCGTTGCCATTTTGTGGTGAAAAAAACCACAAGCTCCTAGCCAAAAGGGTAGCCCAAAACGCCTAGCGGAAATAACCTAGTGAGCAAAATAAGAAATGCACGTCTCTTCATTTCTCATCTGAACTTCGTGATGCAGGCAACAATACCCTAGGCCTTTCTCGATTTCTAAGGCCCTGATCGGTAGCGCCCTTAAGCGGAGTTCGTGAGCTTCAAGTGAGTTCACTGATTCCCGCTTCGCAAGTGTGGCGGAGTTTAAACACTCCGGAGCAGGGCTGTCGATTGGTTCCAGGCCAACACTTGAGGGTCTGAGGTGCCCGTATTTCAGCCCTGAAATCTCCGGGAAGTGTCATTTTCCGACCCCTTAAGCGTCCGGGAAAGCACCTAATCAAAAACTTAAGTTCCGGGCTACAGTACAACAATCAGGGCAATCTTTATATAACTAAAACTAATGAAACCATAGTTATTTTAGAACTAAGATCTACCTATCTACCTATCTACTTTCTCAACAAAAAGATCTAAGTGGCAGGCTTGCGGAGCTTCTCCCCGTCGAAGATCTGGTACACACCTGCCCAGTCCACGTCGTAGTCTAGCATTTTCACGGTCATAAGCTCAGCCAGCCTAACATTGCTGAGAGCACACCTATCCAGGGCTGACGCTATCAGACTATTTAGTCTGATTAGTCTGACGAATCAGACCATCCACTTTGTGAAAAATGTATTTCCAGAGTAGTCAAAATTTCATCACTGAGTGCCTCAGACTTATTGTTTTATGGCCCCTGATTCAGTGTAATAGGACTCAGACTCAAACATTTCTGGAGTCTGACCCTACAGAGTATACTTCCTGTGGTCCCTGGATGCGAGTTTATCGAGACGAAGCTTCTTGGAAATTTTCTTTCGATATACCCACTTTGAGCAGTAAAAGTGCCAGCACGTGAGCAAGGCACGGTGCACCAGTTGTTTGACACTCGAATGCACTCGATCTTCACGATCATCATGCAGTGCTAATGGTGTTAATGGTATGTGGTGAAACGGGAAATTCAACGGAGCCAAACTGGGAAATCTAGCCGATTGCTCAACAATCGGCGAATAGAACAAAGAATCGTTGGAAGATAAGTTCTCCGCACATTTGGTATATCGCAATGTTTGGTTCTTCGAGACTTTTCTCCGTGCCAAAACGTGTGACAATCACCTAAAACTCAATGAAAAGGAAAGAGATTGGTGCACCCAAGGTGTAGGCTGGTCAGAAAATGATTTCGCTGCTGATTCGTACAACGCTACCGAACAAGTTACGTGCAGCACTGCCAGGTTCTCCCGCACCAAGCGACTGTTCTTGACTGCTGCCAGCTCAGCTGCGAGGCAATTCGCTTGCTGGCACTTTCGAAGTCACGCGACAAGTGCCCCTTGCATTGCTAGCATCACACATGAACTGGAACAGTCAGAGCAAGCCACAGACAAACAATTGCTATAAATAGCGACAAAAATTTGGCTCTCACGCGACACTTGGAAAAATGCGACAAATCACACAAGTATCCTGCAGCGCTGATCATGTTCCCCGATGCGGATCCGCCGACCCTGATTGTTCAGACTGTCTGACTTCAGGGCACTGACCAATCAGAGTGCCTCATTTCTGGCCGAAGTGCCTTCAGAGTAATTTTTTTTTTTTGGGGTGAAGATCAGAGTGCTTGAATTTGAAACGCCAGCCCTGCACCTATCCCATGTCTTAATAATGTTCTGCCTAGAAAAGCCCCTCTCACACTCTACTGTGCTGAGAGGCAAGACAGAGATAGCACGCCAGAGAGAAACAATGTGGGGATAATCACCACGCCAGTCGGACGTGCGCAGCATGTTGGTCAAGGACTGGTGAAAACTCTGGTCCTTGAACTTCTTCTCGAGGGTGACGGTGAAGAGCCTGATCTCGGGCTCGATGTTCTCTGCTGTGATGCCTGCCAGGGGTATGGGAAGCAAAACATGAATGAATAATTGAAGAGTTGGCTAGTGCTAAGTACGTGCGCCTAACAGAAACTGTACCTGGAAGTTGATGGCTGAACATTTCCAGCAGCTGATCCATGTTGGAGGAGAACCACATGTCCTGCTCACACAGCCGATAGGGATAACTGCGAGGACGGAAAAATTGCACACCATCAAAGTGGCGGAGATCCGCCATCCTGTCTGAGAGGCTCTTGATGAGCGCCTGCGCAAACCTCTTTCCAAGGTCATAGCAGGCGTTCAGATCAGAGCCGCCTTTAGTGCCAATCTTCTCTTCGTGCAGCTCAACGGCCTCGATCACCTTTTCGCCGTCCGCATTCAGCCCAGTCAGCTGCATGGTGCGGTCATTCGAATGCTTTTCCAGAAACTTCATCAGCCTGGAGTTCGTGCCGCCCCCGAACTTGGCGTCGGGCTTGATGTAGCGCTGCGAAAGCTTGGTCTTGAGCTTGTCGACGAGGTTCTTGACCTCTGCGATGTCGACCTGGATAGAGGGCATTGGCGGCGCGAGTCAGTTGGTACACGAATGTAATGAACGAAATAAACAGCAAACACTCACGCGGCTTTTCTGAAAGGAGAGGTTGAGGATGTTGAGGAGGTCAAGGACATCAGCCAGGAGGTGAAGCATGAAGTGAAATTTGAAGCTGCTCCCAATCCGCCACATCTTCTTGTTCTTCTGCTTCCACATCCACATCAGCGCCGGAAGAACATCGCAGAATCGCTGCACCGCGTCCCCTCGAGACAACCACCGCACCACGAAGATCCCTTGCACCTCCAGGTTGGTTTTCAGGATGACCTCCTGAAGATGCAGGAAGGTTTTCCGATCCACAGACGAGCGGCCCAGGTGTTCTGCTGTCTTGCGGATCTGAGAATCCACAACCTTGAACTCTGGGATCGCGTCTGCCGCGTCCTTGGCGGCTAGCGCCTCCCTGTGGGGCGGGTGTTAACGCACATAGCAAACAACCGGCAGGGATTAGTATCATTGGAACAGCTTGAATCCGAACAGCGCGGCAGTTACATAACAAAATATCACTGCTTACCGATGGGCGACGCAGTGCACCGCGACCAGCCACGGGCAATCC